TTTGGGTGGAGCTCCAAAAAATCCCATCCTGGAGTCTTTTCCCGCCAAAATTCCCAATGTTGGGGGGAGAATTCCACTGATTCATTCCTGTTCCCTGTGGGCGGAAGTGATGGGAATTCCTGCGGGATTGGGATCTTCTGGAGCCCCTGGAGAATGGGATTTGTTTGATGTTGGATTTAGGGATTTGTACCTTCGGGGTTTGGGTTTGGGGATTTCGGGTTTTGGAGATTTGGCATTAAAAATTTGGAATTTTTGGTTAGGTGTTGGAGATTTGAGATTTCAGATTGGGGATTTGAAGACTTTGGGATTGGGGATGAAGGATTTGGGATTTGCAATTTGGGGATTGGGGATTTGGGATTTGGAGTTTTGGGTTTGAGAATGGGGATTTCAGATTGGGTATTTGACGTTGGGAATTGAGGATTTGGGGACTGGAGATTTAGGATTTCAGAGTTGGGATTGGGGATTTGGGGTTTAGGGGTTTGGGATTGGGGATTTGGGAATCCTCCGCACCCCCTGGATCCGGGAATTTCTCCTGCCTCGATGTTGGAACGGGATCCTTCCGGAGCCCCAGAACCTTCTGGAACATGGGAGATTCCCGCCGGGAATGCCGGGACGGAGGCGATTCCCCAGTTCCGGCCGGGATTTTGGGATTCCCCGGCCTCGCTCTCCCGAGGAATCCCGATCCCAAAATTTCCCGGGTTTCCCGGGATTGGCCGCTCCAGCGCGGGCTGCGTGCGCCCCCTGGCGGCGCTGACACCGGGATTTGGGATCTGGGATTTGGGGGTTTGGAGATTGGGATTTGGGATTTGGGGGTTTGGGGTTTGGGGATTTGGAGATTGGGATTTGGGATTTGGGGGTTTGGGGTTTGGGGATTTGGAGATTTGGGGATTGGGGATTTGGGAATATGAGATTTGGGGATTGGGGATTTGGGGATTTGGAGTTTGGGATTTGGGAATTGGGGATTTGGGATTTGGGATTTGTGGGTTTGGAGTTTGGGGATTTGGAGATTGGGATTTGGGATTTGGGGGTTTGGGGTTTGGGGATTTGGGCGTTTGGAGATTGGGATTTGGGATTTGGGGGTTTGGAGGTTTGGAGTTTGGAGATTTGGGGATTGGGGATTTGGGGGTTTGGGATTTTGGAATTTGGAGATTTGGGATTTGGGGGTTTGGGAATATGAGATTTGGGGATTTGGAGGTTGGAGATTTGGGATTTGGGGGTTTGGGGGTTTGGGGGTTTGGGGATTTGGAGTTTGGAGGTTGGGATTTGGGAATTGGAGATTTGGGGGTTTGGGGATTGGGGATTGGGGTTTGGGGGTTGGGATTTGGGGATTGGGGATTTGGGGGTTTGGGGATTTAGAGTTTGGAGATTTGGGGATTTGGGAATCAGGATTTGGGGATTGGGATTTGGGAATGGGGATTTGACAATTGGGTATTTGGGATATGGGATTTTGGGTTTGGGATTGGGGATTTGGGAATTTTCCCGGATTTCCATCCTGCCCTGCTTCATCAACTCCAGCATTCCCAAGAGGGGAAAACCCGGGAATT